TCTTATTCAAAAAAAAACGATGATTTCTGTATGGACAAAAATTTTTTTCATCTAATTACTCTATGTGTGTGTATTTTGATTACTTTTTGATTGCCAATATTTTTGATTGACAATTTTTTTCTTGGTCAGAATAACAGTATAGAAAAAGAAATTCCACATTTATATTGGGAGTAAATGAATTCCTTATTCTGAAATAGACATGTAAAACTCATGATGATGAAAATTTTTTTTCTTTAAATCAGATCAGATACTTTTCGACATGTCTTTTCATAAGTACTATGTATGAATGTGCTGAATATGACGGTAAAGATTTGAAATTCTTTACAAATATAATGATTGTTTTACGCATTAATTGCAACTGTGAACATGATGATAATAATAATAATAATTTTATTTGTCAAAATTTTTTTTTGTGCTTTTCATTCTGCTGTTTATTTATTATTGTTGTGATAAGCACACCAACACACACACACATACGAATATTTGAAGTTGAACAATTATTATACAATAGCAGTTTATACACTATTAAATGATGCGAATAAACATGATGATAAGTGACATGTTCACACACACACACACACACACAAAGAAATATTCATGCATGTGACATATCTTTATTGTCATGCTCATCATCATCATCATCATGATTATTGTCGTTGTTGTATTCAGATTTCTCAAAGCCACACACGCACAGTATTGAAATGCCATGGTAATCATGAATCGTTCTTAGATTAAATGTCAATTTTATAAGCTAGCAACCGAACATTATCATAACCACATCGATTATGGATATTGAGCAAAGACAAACTAAAATTCCGGTTCAAAATTTACAACATAGTTTGAAATTGTCATTCTTTGTAGTATACTTTCGAGGTTCATATCACATCATCATCATCATTGAAAATTTGCCAGCCACATTATTACACGCAAATTACATTGGTCAAATGAAATTGAGAATTTAAAAATTGTATACAAACCATCAACACCAAATTGGCGCCATTTTAATTGGTGCGTCAATTTTATCGTTTTTTTTCTCTGTCTTTTTCTCTTTCTTTTGCTTTCGCTATTATTTGGTTGTTTTTTTTCTCATCAAAACCTATTACCCTAAAATCGCGACTATAAGACGCAATTGTCTTATTTTTATTTCTAATTGAATTTTCTTACTATGATTTTTTTTTATAGATTTCTTTACTAGAGTCATTTTCTTCAATGGTCAATTCGTAATGTTTACAATGTATGAAAACATTTTCGAATTGGATCTCGTTCAATGTCCGATGTTATTTTTTCTGTAGTTGAATAAAGATTATCATACAATTTTTTACACTCTGATTCATTGCGTTATTTACAGTATGATATACCGATATCTCAATGAATTGTGTATCAATGTTGTTGTTGTTGCTATTTATTCAACCACCAGTGAATGTAAAATGTGATCATTCATTTCTGCTTTTTATATTTCTACCGTCATCCACCCCCGCTATCAGAAAAAGAGAGAGAGAGAAAAAAAAAAAATATTCAGCCACACATGTATACTGTTAAATTCTGTTTTCCAACAACCCGAAACAACAACAGAGAGATGTAATATTCGAAAACCAGTGAGCATACACATACAGGATATATTGTTGTATCAAATGAAAAATACAAGTAAAGTTAGAAAGCAAAAGACAAGGGAAAAAAGATGGCAAATTAAAATTTACGCACGAATAATCCACAGTCTTCATTCAAATTCTACATTGTCTATTCTTCAATTCATTTTCCTCTGCTGCCTTTCTGGTTAATATTTATATATATATTCTCTCCACTTTTTTTCTGGGTTTCGATTTGATTCATTTCTTGAAAATTGTTCCGGACTATGGTTGTTTCCTATTTGTGTATGTATGTATGAATTATATGACACAGACATAAATCCATTGTCTCATTCATTCATTTATTCTCATTTTTTTGGCTGGTATTATTATTATTATTTTGATGGCCTGGCACCATTTCGTTTTTTTTTCATTTTGGTTGGATCACTTATTTGATAGTATATACTCTCGAATAATAACAATAGAATATTATTATATACCAGAAAATTAGAATCCGTTTTATTTCGATATGTTTGTGTGTTTTTGTGTGTGTGTTTATGGTATACGTTATGAACGATGAGATCGAATTGAATCGAATCGAGTACATTCATATGTTAATATAACATATTGAAATCCTAGTCAGAAAAAAAAACACCAGTTCCTTCAATATAGATTTTGAGTCATTTTTGGATTGATTGAAATGTGACAAATATAATGTATATAAAAATCATAAAACGACCAATATCAACCAACAACTATTTATGAGATGAGCAAAAAAAAAAAAATTAATTTTCAATATTACTTGAATTATAACTAATCATTTTGGTTGTAGTAAAGAAGAAATCTGATTGAATTCTCATTGTATATCCATATTTGTTCAAGGATTATTTTTCATCATTCGTGGTCGATGTGTGTGTGTGTGTGTGTGTGTGTGTCTGTGCAAATATATTCAACAACAAAAAATCGTTTAGTTTTTATTGAGATTGACACATTCACAACATTCACATTGGCTTGAGGAAACATAGATATATATCTATTTGCATCCGAATAGATTTAGTTCAATTGACTGCTGCTATATGATACACACACACACGAGCTACACGTGGCACACACGAATACGATTCTTATATTATATATATACCCTCATCGTTTAAATCGTCTGAAATTTTTGTTTGCTTTTAAAATCTTTTTTTTTTAATATTATATACGTCTGTATGCGTGTGTGTGGTATTAATATTATTGATATTGATTCATCAAAATAGAAAAGTTTGTTGAGCTGGCAGGCATTTATCGCAATAATGCAATAGAAAATATGTCCCGATTTTATCTCTACCCTCTATCATTGTTTACAACCAATTGACATCTTATTTTACTCTATTTGATGGTGACTTAATAATAATCGTCATTATTATTCTCATAGAATTTATGAATTTTTTTTTCATATATTGAATGTGTCAAATATATGATGATGACGATCATTTTGTAGCGGAAAAAATGCCGGAAATTGTCCGTTTCTATGGCTATTATTTCTCTCTTTTTTTTTGCTTGGACACTAAGCAGAAAAAATGCCTTGATATTCTATGTTGATTCTTTTCAAAAAAAATCAATATGCGTTGAATTGATTGGATCTGCCATTATTATCATCATCATTTTTTTTGCTTGGCTTCATGGACATTATGATGACTTTCTATTTTAATGATGATCATAAATATATACACATTACCGGATTGAAAATTAAGATTGATATTTGTTTTCGATTTTTTTTTCTTTGTTATTTTGATACACTACGTTATTCTTTTTTTTGTTCTTTATTTCTTGATCATTCATGGTGAAGATGACTTTTGGTGCCCATAATGATGATGATGATGATGATGATGATGATAGTGATCGGTAGCCCATATTAATACAATGTCTATGGTGTGTGTGTGTGTGTTTTATTCTCATCATCATCATGATCAAATATAATATTACTTTTTTCTGCAACACACACACACACACACACACAAAAACGAAAGTAAAAAAAAAAGACAGCAAACGCATTAAATATTTGCTCATCATCATCATCATCATGAAATTGAATGAATGAACCAATAGATATATGGAATACGAATCAAATATATCCAAAAAACGAATTGTTGCTGCGGCTATTATAATGCTAATAACAATTATATGTAATACGAAATGTTTATTAGGTTTTCTTTTTTTTCTTTCACAATTTTATTCCACAATGATGATGATGATGATGATGATGATCCATATAGATATATTTGGATCCCTTGGCAATATGTACACACACACACACACATACACAAATGTAATGTACCATATACACATTTGGACAAAATTCAGGTTCATAAAATTGACAATTATCTTCATCATTATTTGATAATATATAAATATAGAGAAAGAGATGGATTCTATAATAATATTCCCATATATGAATGACTATGTATACAACTAGCCACCTTAGGCTTCCCATTTTCCCAGCCACCACCACCACCACCACCACATCAATAATGGCGTCAACAATAATTGCCAACAAACAAATACATGAAGCCGTCAATATATTGATATTAAATTGATCTCCGTTATATTATAATAGTATTATATCCGAACACCGTTGAAAGTTTTTATTGATCTACAAAATTTTTTTGTTTCTTTTGGTTTACGTTCATTTTTTCGATTGTTTTAATCATTATTATTAGTATTTTTGTTATTGTTAGCAATCATCATCATAAATTGGTTGTTTCAAATACATTTTGAAATTATCTTCCTTCTTCTTCCTCTCTTCCCCCCCTGAAAAAAATCGTAATGATCTAATTATTGGTAGCCATTGTTTGATCATACGAATTTTTTTTGGATAACCATTATACCATTTGTTTGTTTCAAATGTTTTTATTATTGTTTTTTTTTCATTTTGTCTCTTTATATATAGATATAATCGGTCATTCAAAAACGAGCAATGATAATAATAATACCGTAGCCATCAAAGATCAGCAAAGTCAAAATTCGGAAATTGATCATCATCTACAGCAACAACAACAACAACAACAACAATTGCTTTCGACCGATACATTGCTCGAAGGCAATCATCGTTTCAACAAACATAATAATAATAATAACAATCATCAAAATCGTAAACATAATCAAGACAAAGGTCATTATCATCATCATAATAATATCGACAAAAATATTGATGATTTCATTGATGAAACGACTAATAATGAAAATTTTGATAGTGTTAATTTGAAACGATTTAAAAAAGAAAAACAATCAAATATTCAACCATTGGTTGCATTAGATGCTCATGTTACAGAAAATGATAATCATGACAAAGGCAATAATGACAATAACAATTTAATTAATGATTCAAAGATAACAACAAACAATTGTCAATTATTGAATATTCATTTAGCTAAACAACAACAAAATAATGGCGATGATGTTGAAAGAAAATTAATATCATCTGATTATTCTCATCATCATAAACGATCATCGATTGATATTATAACACGAGAAACGATTGCCGCTTTCGAACAAAATGTTCAACAAGAATCGATCGACAATGGCCACGATGGTAATAGTTGTAGGCGAAAAAATTCAATAGAAACAAACGGCCATCATCATCAAACGGATCAAACGCAAGCAAAAACATTTACAAATCAATCGACTATCAATCACTATTCACCGGCATCAATGTTTGATGTCAAATTTAAATCCTATCATAATAGCAACAACAACAACAACAATCAAGACAATCTTTTCGTATCGACATCAACCAATAATAATATTGGAAAAAATAATTTTAGTCACTTCATTAATTGTTCACCAAATAATAATAGTTTCAATAGTCCAACGACCACATCAACGTCTACAATATTGAACGGTAGGTTAATTCTCGTTATTTTCAGTTACATTCTATGTGTGTGTGTGTGTGTGTGTGTGTGTGTGTGTTGTTTGTCTTCTCATATGAAACATAAATTTTATTCTGGATCGGCTACAAAAATAATTGTTACAAACAAAATACTCAATGAATAAAGAAGACTTTATGTGAATGACTTGTATATGTAAAAATTAATCCTAGGCTATAATTTATCCAAAATTTTTTTTCCATTTGATCAAAATTATTATGTTATGATCATCATTTTGAAAACAATTTCGACATAGCTAAGAATTTCTAAATTGTATGATTTTTTCTCTAAACAACTTTCCACATGGCATATATTTGTTTTTCAATAAATAAGCCAAAATTTTTTTTTTTTGTCTGCTTGACCATTAGGATGATTGAATGAAATTGTTGCCAAAATGAAAAAACCCATTGTTCTTAAAAACCAATATCAAATTGATTTTATTTTTATTTTTTATTTATGTTATTGCACCATGACAATATTTGACTCTAGATAAATAAGAAAGAAAAATTCGAGGTTATTATTTCCTATTATAATCATCACACACACACACACACTTACTGTTTGTTATACAGATTAGAACGGATTTGTTTTAAATTGATGTACATTTATAATTTATGTATCCATCTTTTATATGAAGCATTGAATTTTTGTTTTTGTATCTTATTTATCGGTTCAGTGGTCTTTCGATTGTTGTTGTATTATTTTCATATGTCATTCTTTTTTTTTTGCCCCACACGAAAAAAAAGGATAATAATCGTGATGATGGAGAATGTTCAAATAATAATAATGGAATTAATAACAGTATATATCCAAGGGTGATATGATCATCATCATATAGAATCAAGAATTTTTATTCTTAGCCATGGTGAAAAAAATAGTAATAATAATTGTAAATTACAATTATATACAATTGGCCGCATACGAATTATGGATCATCATGGCTTATAAAAAAAAAAAAAAAAAAAAAATAGAAAATTGACTTGTATATTATGATTACAAATGGCCATCATTGTATTATTATTCCATTTCCATCAACAGAATGTTTGTGTGTGTGTGTGTGTGTGTGTGAAACGACAAACAAAAAAAACTATTTTGCGACAACATTAATATAAAGAAAAAGATTAAAAAGAGATTAGTTTTTATATGAATGAGATATGCTCAATGTTTTATATATATGCTTGTAGACATAATAATATCAATGCCATAAAATTATTGATGCATTATAATTATGATTTGATGATGGGTCATCTGAATCCTTATTTATTTATACTTTGATTGTTGTTGTTGTTGTTGTTGTCAGATTTTCCATTCAATGAAAAAAACAATTTCAATCATTCAAATATATCTTTATGTTATAATAATAATCTATCTCAATTCTAATCATCATCATCATCTTGTTGGTAAAATATTTTTTTTCCAGTTTGGTTTGTTTGTTCGCGATGTAGTTGTTTTTATTCATTTTTTTCCAATCGAATTGTGATGATGTGAAACATTCGTATTTAGCTTATTTCACGATATCATCATCATCATCATTATCGTTATATTTACTTTGATTTATCCAAATCGGGATGATCCATTCATTGATGGTTTTTTTTAAGATAACAAAAAAAACAACAACAACAGCAACAACAACCAAGCTTATTACAATGCATCAGGTAAAATCATCATCATTGATATGGCCATAATGGTAATTATGTATGATGATGATGATGATGATAATAATGATGATGATATTAGCTAATAGCCACTAGTAGTATAAACTTGCATCTACCGTATTTGGCATGTACCTATGTATTTATATTGCCATTTCCACAGAAAAATAATAAGTAGCTATAATAATAATAATAATAATTTCAATGAAAAATGACCATCACCATGGTTTGTATATACACAAGTGGCTTGAGCTACCTGTATTGTATTGTTTCGATTCTATTTCATTATGATATTATTATTAGTGCAAAAAAAAACTCAAGACAAAAAACAATCAAACATATGTATTGAATGAATTGAGAATGTCTGTTTGTTTTTCAGCTGATGAGGATGTTTGTTTATTTTTATTTATTTTACGTTGATTCGATTGTTCTTATTGATCTTGTATTTCTCTCTTAGTTGATCATCATCATCATTATAAATCGAAACCAAAATGATCATTTCCATTATCAATTAATTACTATTGTAGAATGGCGAATAGTTTATTTCTTGATCCTTAATAACTTTTTCTCGTTTTTTCTTGGCGATTATAATGAAGTTACCATTGAGTTGTAATGTGTGTTTGACATCCTTATGTATAATGATGATCGGTTTGGAAATTAAATTTTTCAATTAGAAATCAAACAAAACAAACAAATAAGACAATGAAAAATTTTCAATTTGCATACATTCGTGATCTATTCATTAGTTTGTACTTATATGTCTTATAATTTGTCTATTCGTTGTCAATGATTATTAGAAATGAGAAAAAAATTAATACATTTGTCCAGAAAATATTGGAGAAAAGAATTTTCAATTAATCATTAGTGTACTACCTTTGTTTCCATGTATTCTTAAAATTGAATTTTTTTTTCTTTTTCACTTTTTCAGTTGATGATATTACTTGGTACAATATTTATCGATTAAAGTTCAAATCAATCATAATATATTATTGTAATTGAGGAAAAAAATGAACAACAATAACCAAAATGAGCATTATATTTCCATTTGAAAAAAAATTAATTGACATCTGGGACAACCAATAATTCGGCTTCAGTTTTTTTTGTACAATCTTGTTTGACATTTATGCCCCTTTTTCATTTCTTTTCGTTTGTTTATGTCAGTTTGTAATCTTACATCATCATTTAATCTAAACTAACAGTGGGCTCAATGTTTCTATGGGCTCTACACACATCCATTCAGTTCGAGAGACTCTTTTGTTCCATAAAACTTTTCTTTTCAAAATAAATTCAAAACCGGAACAGTCAAACAAACGTTTGAATGGATGACAAACCGTAACAAAAAAAAACATCAATATATGAATAGATAAATAGATTGATTTAAAAATCATAACATCAAATTGTCCAACATATATGACATCATCATATGCTTTATACAGAAAGTAATACAGTTCAGGGTTCGACATGTATATGTTGAAGTCTTTGGTCTCTCTTTTTTTTCGTTTCTATTTCTTCACAATATTTATAAATAGTTCATTGAATAAATGAATCTCCCGGTACATATATTTAAATGCAAATGAATTTCATTCCGTTCGTTTCATATATACCAACGAATAAACAAACAAAAAAAAAGAAAACGGGTAGGGTCGTCATGTCAATCGTATTCGTATTCGTTTTTTTCTCTTTTTTTTGCATTCATAAAAAATGATTCTGTCGACTATATAAATGTTATTATTTTATATGAAATTTTTTTTTCTCTCATTGCATCATTTTCTCGTTTGTTGTTATTGATAGTGTTTTCCATAATGGTAATATTGATTCGATTGAATGTTTTCAACATAAATATTGATTGAAAAAATAAATATCAATTGAATTTTTATGACTCAGACGAGAACAAGTAAAAAAAAACTTTAAACAGACCGTTATGAAACACACACACACAGATTGTGAATGTGATCGTTTCACATCATCAATTCATAATTTTTTTTCATTTATTCATTTATTTTCTAAAAGTTTTTTTTTTGATTCAATTTTTTTCGAGTTAGTTAGTCCCGTAGTTGAACTACGAATAACGAACAAGGAATAACATTATTTTTTTTTTTTTCGTATAGTTCCAGATGAATGTTTATTCCAGTGGTTGAAAACATTTTGTTTGTGTTGTTGTTATTATTATTGATGCTTAGATTGAAAGACGGATATTTTTTTCTATCAGTAAATAACTATAGACATTCATTTTTGTCTCATAAGATTATCGACCATCATTATGATCATTTACATTTTCATATATCAGAATCAGTTAGTTTGTTTTCATTATATCACTGACCGAAAGTTATAGAATTTTTTGTTTTTGGTTGGAAAAAAAATTAAAGAAACATTTATTTATTTTTAGAAAATAATTTTTATCAACAACAAGAACAAGATTTTTCCCTTTTGCGTTTGGCATACCGACGTTTGTCATATTTATTCATCCAGTTATTCTAAGCAGCAACGAAAATGAAGAAAAAAAATTGAACGGTTTACGGCTTAAATTATAATTAGAAATTAAATGAGTCGAATCGACAGAATGCTTGTTGTGTGTGTGTGTGTGTGTGTATGCAAATGAACATTAAATCCGAAATAATTTGTATCAAGATAAAAGATGGATTGATGAATAAATGAATGAATGGATAATTCTTCATAATTTTTTCATTCATTTCACCCCTATAGGGAAATTCTATATTTACTCTATGATCCACATATAAACTAATGGTCATATGTGGTTTCAAATTGATAAACAAAAATAATTTCATTGTAATTTTTTTTCTGTTTATCAATTATTCAACTTTTTTTCGAAAAAAACAAAAATACAAAAGTTCAATGTATATAGAATTGAAACACAAGAAGTTTGTTTGAGTGTGAACAAATCGGCAATCTTTCATCCTTCAGAATTTGATACAATTTTAACATTTATACTTTATAAACATATGTATGTATACAACATTTAACTATTATAAATGAAAAGAGTTTAGTTGTTACTTTCATCATTTTGTCATTATTTGGAAAAATAATCTAACATTTCAATGTTGCATTTAAAGTCATTTGTAAATTATTCGTAATAAAAATAAGTCATTATTATATGAGCTGACAATTCTGGCAGATAAATGAATAAAGAAGTGTGATATTGAACATGAATAAACACACAGAATTTGGTAGTATATGAATATACTCATTTTGGTGCAAACTTGTCTAACTAAATGGTATCAACATTTATGGCTTGAACATTATGATCATCATCATTTACAATGTTCAATGTTTGTCGTCGTAATTTTGTCGTTTTGTCATAAAAT